TGTTTAGAGCTATTTGTCTAATTATGTGCGAACAAGAAGGGACAGTGTCCAAAACATCAACAATTATATGTTTTCCTTTTAAGGCAGTTTTATCGACGAATGTATTATTTTGTTATTGTCACATGTGCGTTAGCATCACAGTATTTCATCTCCACGCTCAAAGAAGTATGGACTGGCAATTATTTCCATTTGCTGTTCATAGCCAAGAGTGAAAAACAGCAGATTCCATTATATCCATAGGATGACCACTATTGACATTGCTACAAAGTTATTGACCTCAAAGGGATGTTGGTCTGAGTGGCCCCCTAATCCAGACATTGGACTTGCAAAGTCCCGAATGCGACGTGGTAATGGTAATGTATTGACAATTAAAACGCCAATACTGTTTTTCTGTATCCTTTATTTAACCAGGAGATGAAATAAACCTATTGAGACACACGAAAGAGCATCACCTTTCTTTGCAAGGGCGACCTGGGTTACATCAAGGACAATTTAAGGACGCAACATTTGTAAAACGTTTCATGTATGGTTGGCTACGTATGGTGCCAAAGAAGTTCAACATACATACCCGTACTCTTAGTTTTTTTGGTAAAGTCACGTAGGTTAAAAATAAAATAAATAATTACTAAAAGTAATCATTGAAATAAAATAAAATAATAAATCACGACGTTTCGGAGGCAACACAAGTCTCCATCATCAGATGGGACCGTCACAGCTAGATTTGCTGTATCAAGTGAGGCAGAGATTCCAAGATACAAGTTCTTAAATAAAAGTTAAGGAGGGAGGAGGGAGGGGCTTATCTGAATGTGGTGGAACCTCACTTGATACAGCAAATCTAGCTGTGACGATCCCACCTGATGACGGAGACTTGTGTTGCCTCCGAAACGTCGTAATTTTTATTTTATAATTTTATTTCTATTATTACTTTTAGTAATTTTTAATTTTATTTTGTACCTACGTCACTTTACCGAAAAAACCTAAGAATATGAATCCTTGCAGTCACGAAAACTTCTAATTTAGAATGAATACATACCCGTAGGCTCAACTTCACAATACATTTAACGCTGCACAACCTGAATGATGCCAGGTAAGGTAAAACAAAACCAAATAATTGCACTTAACATTCTAAAACATGTGAACAAATACAGTGTAACTTTCGGAAAGGAGAGTGGCTGGATTCGGCAGTCAATGGGGGGAATTTAATCTAAAAAAAACACACAAAGCGCCTTGAGGACTGAAGTTTAACACGGGGCGCCAAGTTCACAGCCCCTCGGCGTGCGTTGCGTAACAACGCGCCTCGTTCTTTGTCTTCTGAAGCGATCCCTCTGCGCTGCTCCTCATCCTCCTGCTGCTGTTGCTGCTGCCGCCGCTGCTGCAGCAACTGCTTTTCGCTTTTGGGCGAAACATCGAACAGAGACGGCCACTGCATCGCGGGGCGCTTTCAGATGCGCTTCTGCGGCCGTCCGGCAACGCTCCTCCTCGCGATGTTAGGAAGCCGCTGAGAGCTTACGGCACTTTTAAACCGAAAGGTTGAAAACCAATCTCTTGAGCACGGCTTTTTTGTGTTTAGTTCGTTATCCTTCTCGCGTACGTCCGATAAGCACGTTTGCCAACGTACGGTGCGAAAGAAGTTCAACATACACAACAACAACAACCGCCATTCGCCACTAAGTGGCGGTGACGTCACCACGACGCTTGTGCCAGGCTATGTGCACCTTGAGGCTACGTGAAGTGTCGAACGCCCGCTGGCAGGAGGTCACGGGGCAGACCCAGGTGCCACGGGTCGACTGACTGAGATGACTGGCTGATGCAACATACACACATACACACACACACGCGCACTTCCGATCCCACCGCTCCCATCTCGTAGCGGCAAACTCATCCCCACGCACGCCCAGCCGTCGTCCACTTGGGCATGCGCGACGCTTTGCCTCCTCTGCGCTGTCATGGGCGCAATTAACGGTCCCCTCCAATGCCAGAATGCCAGGGCCACTCAGCCAGAGAGATTACATTCCACCCCCACCCCCCTCCTCATCTTGTGGCTGTCTTCCCGGCCGCCTCGCTGCTCGCCGCCGCCTCGTGCTGAGGCAGCGCTTTATGCGATATGCGCAGCGTGGGCTACAGTTGCCCAGGTCCGTGCTCAAGACGGATTCGCGCGTAAAAATACAATAAAACCAATCTCGCTCCCCGCTTCCAGAGGGCCGCAACAGATGATGGCCTCTTACACTCCACCTTCGCGGAGCACACTCCCTGCGCACCACACTTTTTTGTTTTTGTAAATGTTTTTTTTGTTTACCAATCAAGAGGTTACCGACAATTGTCCACGCGCGGGGTGATTATTGGTAAGGTTAGGGATGAGTCGTAGAAGAGAAGGGCACCGCTGGGGCACGTCAGGGCACTGTGCACTGTGCTAGCCGGCGCGGTCCACGTTGCTTCTTGCTGGAGAATGAACGCGGGGCGCTGCTGCTGCTGTTGCATTCGCGTGCAGCGACTCGAGCGGTCGTAACCCACAATGCCGTCGAGACTCGAACCCTCGCACGAACAAGTCACCTAGCGCGTTACCGCGCGTGGTCTGTAACATGTCGACGTGAACGAATGTCTCCCGCGGTGGCTTCCGTGGCATTAAATATGCATGTTTTTTTTCTTTCTCAAACGCACGGGGTAAAAACCATCATCGTTCTAATTATTTATACATCTCTCCTTCGACGAGCAGGGGGGGGGGTGGGTGCGTATAAGCGCTCGGCGTGTAACCAGAGCCGCCGCCGCCGCCGCCACCGCAGCAGCATCGGCGGCAGCGGTGGCCGCGCGCGTCGAGCAGAGACTCGCGCTCATCCCGGCGACCCGCGGGGTGTGAAATCCACGGGTCCCCTCTCTCGTCATCGGTGTCGGCCGAATTTGGGACGTGGAGTTAGAGGTCGGCACTTGGGCCACTGCGGCAGCAGTGAAGTCCCGTTGCGGTGTGAACGAGACCCCCCCCCCCCCCCACCACCACCGCACGATCTCTGTTGCGCACCGCGCGCTACGTTCTGCTCGATGTCCCACGCGCTGGATGTGACGCGGAGGATAGAGGGAGGCTCGTGGTTACTCGCGGCGCGGGTTATTTATGCCACGCGAGGCGGACGCGTCTCATAACGAGAGACACTCAGCGTTAATTATAGACGCGCATTTCACTCGGGGGCTGCTCTGTGCGCGCGCGCGAGAGAGAGAGAAAAAGAACTGGGATATCCGAACCGCGACGTCGCACGGGCAAGCTCCACAGCGCGCCGGCGATTCGTTCCGCGCCGAATGGCCGGACGAGCGATGTTCTTCGCTTGGAGACGTCCGATTAATGCGGATTAACGTTCTCACACCGGCGCAATATTTGAAGAAATGGTTTATGTCGTAAAGGGAAGAACAGAAAAAAAGACACCAGACGCGACAACGATTCGAAGGAATGACGCGCCATAAAATAAGATGATAATCTGTATTATTTATGGAACAATGTCACACGATGTTATGGGCACCGATCGATTTTTTTATTAGAATGTTTAGCACACCATTATCTCTTTTGCGGAGTATCCGTTTTTATGTATACAGACTGCAATTCGAAATATGTTAGGGCAATTAGCAAGGTGATGCGATGTCTATGTTTTGTTTCTCGAATGCGCGTGCGACTGACCGCACACCGCCTTTTTCCCCGTGCACGCATGCACGCACACACACGCGCATGTGTGTGTGCGCGTGTGTGCGCGTGTGTGCACGTGTGTGCACGTGAGTGTGTGCATGTACGCGTGCAACACAAATCACGCAAACACACGCGCACGGGCCGCGACGCTGCAGCGCATCGCGCGCAATGAACAGATTTACGGCAGCGTACCCGTTAAATAGCGCGGCTCCGATTTAAAAGGCGGCTCGTATTACGGCTCAGGTATCGTAGTGGCCTATATATACACACATACACACGCGCGGTATGTGTCAAATATTACGCCGTGTGTGTATACACAGTAAGTGAGGCGTGCACCCGATTCAAGAGCTGGATTGGCTCACAGGGCTATACCAAATAAACTGAAACTGAAATCAACCGAAAGTGAATGTATGCATCAGTGAGCTGCTGCGCTGTTATTGCAAGCGAGCTCGAGACTTTCAAGATCAGCGCAGAGGCAAAGCGCACGTGTGAATGACTCACAAGCCATCCCAATCAGCTCGTACGTGTCACGTGACTTCTCCGCACGGCCTGTGCCTCTTTTGATGCACGTTTCCAGGAAAGCTGTGACACGTTTTTATTTCTTTACAACATTTATTCCCGTGATTGTGGCGATCACTTCCCGGAAAAGACAAATGGCGACTTCTTGAGAAACTCGGAACAACCAAATGATGCGTTCGGGAAGGGTCCACCGCTTAGCAAATTACAAGCAAATAGAATAATTTACGACCACTGCATTTTTTTGTGTTCGTCCATAAATGTAGTATTTATTATTTTTTTTAAACTTACACGCATCAACTTGCATAGCTCGCGCGTCACGTGACGCCACGCGAAAGATTCGCACGAATTCGAATTTCATCTCGGAGCTGAAACTCCGCTCCATCCCTCCTCGCGTGCCTTGCCCCGCTTTCTCCCCACCCCCCACCCCCCCGAAAGCAGAGAAGCGCGGATAAACTATGAGAAGAAGGTACAATCGCTCCCCCCCCCACGTCCAATGGTTGCAACTCTTGCATCGTTCCTCCGCAGCGAGCCGCACACGCGCGCAGCCAGCATTGGCCGCCTTCGCTCGGAGCGCTCCCCCACTCAGAGCGCCATTGGCGGCAGGCGTGCTCTGGGCGGTATAAATTATGTACAATTAGCGCATCGCCTCGCAATGAGCGCGGCTCGCTGGCGCGCAGCACCAGTAGCGGGCAGCAGCAGCAGCAGCGCACCCTGCTGATGCAGCAGCGGCGGCGGCAATAGCAGCAGCAGCAGTGGTAGCAAGCAGCGGTGGCTGAGCAGACACGCAGCAGTGGCGGTAGCGTTTGCGCGTCTTCACGCATGCATCGCACGGCTTGCGTTCTCGGAATATGTAACATGGCCGTCGACGCCTCGTTGCAAATAGGCATTTAAAGAGGAGGTTTACGGGGGAGGGGGGGGGAATAATTCAGAGACAAAGGGATGCGATGGTGGCGTGATCCGGGGAGTAGCAAGTTACTGATCGAATAAGAACCCCGCCGGTGGCGGTGCGCTCGCGTCTTGCAAAGGGAGGCGGTGCAGACGGACAGACAGACAGGCAGACCGGCAGTCAGACAGGTAGACAGGCGGGCAGACGAGCAAGTAGGCGGAGCGTGCGCAATTGAATTGTGGAACCATTCACGTTGCACCGCGGTGGTGGCGGCGGCGGTGGCAGTGGTGGTGTGGGTGGCATGCGTTGCGCGCGGCGCCGACGCGGCTAGATTTGGACGGATTTTAAACGCGAGCGGAGAGCGAAGAGGTTCCTGTCGTTGTTGTTGGCTGAGCCCAGCGGCCATGGACGTGCTGCCCAGCTACAGCATCTTCCACGAGCTCCAGCTGGTGCACGACACCGGCTACTTCTCGGCGTTGCCATCGCTGGAGGAGATCTGGCAGCAGGTGAGCGCAACAGAGCGCGCAGTGAGTGCGGGTGGCGGGCGAAGCGACGGAGGAGTGGGGGAGCGGTGGGGGAGTGCACAAACAAAGACAAAGCTCCCCCGTGTAGTCTGTTGGGAGCAAGTGCTGTTAGCGAGCACCTATCGAGGCCGGTACTGTGGCCACACGAGCGAGTGGGGTGGTCAACACCAAGCCGCACCCGGGCCGCCTTTGTCTCCCCCAGTGGCGATGTTCACACTTCGCAACCAGGTACTCAGTTGAAGCTGAGTCGACCTAGGGGAGGAGGCCCAAGACCGGTTCGGATAATCGTCAATGGGTGTTGGTGATCGTGAGCGGTGAATGGAACTCGGGGGGGGGGAGGGGAGGGTTCGTAGCGCGGCGCGCTAATCTTGACACCACCGCGTGGCTACTCGCTCGCTCGCCCGCCGACTCGCAGACACGAGAGCCCAGACGGAGAGTTGTCCCCCGCGTGTTAGCTCTGCGCCGAGCACCCCGGGGTGGCCCGCGACAGGCGAAGCGGGGCGCGCGTTCACTCTCGAGGGACCCCCGGCCACGCACGGGAGGGTGTTTGCGCGTCCCGTCACTCGCGTTTGAACGCGGCGTGCTCGTTCGAACGTGCATTATACGCACGTCCATGTGCCTGTGCGTATGTGCCGTGATGATTACAGGTGCTGTGGGCTGCACGTTCATGAAGTGTACGCATGGCTAGAACAGACAGACGCGCACGCGCGTGCATTGTGCAACGCACGCGCGGTGTCTGCTGCAGAGATTACTTACCGCGTTGCGCGAACGATTAGGACAACGCAGCGGAGAGAACGCACCGACAATATTCTTGCCTATCGGCGGTGCTTTGTGATTGGGGAAGTGTGGGGGGGGGGGGTGGAAACCACAGGGTCCCTGCTGATTTACCAAACAGCCGCTTGCAGAAGCAGATTGTACTCAGTTTGACTGGCGGCTCAAATGCAGAATGTCAGTGCGCGCGTCTTTGTCTGCACACTGCAAGTGGCTAAGTCACTTGGCGCTGGTGGGAGCCGTGACACGAACGCGGCGTTGCGCGCTCGTCCCCACGTGGCCACTGCTGCTGATGATGATGCTGGTGCTGCTGATGATGCTGCTGCTGATGAGAATGCTGATGATGATGATGCTGGTGCTGCTGTGTACGACGATTGCACGGCGAGTGGTAAGAGCCGCTGCCGCCCGAACGCGAAGGAAATTTAAATCAGAATATTGATTCATACTGGAGGAATCCGATGAGCTATGAAGCTCTTTTTAACAGTTACCCGGTATTGCGCGCAGGGCGACCGTGACGACAACTTGAACGCACCAAGGGTGTCGATTCAGTCAGTTTCTCAAGACCCTTCACAGAACGAAAGAAAGAAGAACTGCGATTTGAATGTCGATAGCGCTTAAATTCGACATCTCACTCGCACACGTCCGCTGCGCACGTGGTAAGATGTTGCCAGTGGTGTTATTTGTGGTGGTGGTGGTGGTTGTGGGTTAATTCTCAAGGCGAACATTGACAGAATTAGTACATATATATATACACACACACGCGCGACACGTATGCGAGAGAGGACGATTCGTAATTCGCTCTACCCACCAAACAAACTCGACGCGTACCAATTCCACGCAGTTTCGTTGTCGGCGAACCGAGCGCCTCGTGTCGACGCGGCCCGAGGGGCGCGCGCCACCGCTGGGGTCACGCGCAGAGCTCCGCGGATTGGCACCCGCGGCTGTGCGTGGAGGCAACGCGCTCACTCGGAGAGCCGCGGCTCGCCCCACGGAACGCGTTGTCGTTGTTGTTGTTGTGGCTGGTGGTGGTGTTGTGAGTGGTGTGATTATTCACGACAGCATGAACGTGCAGTCGGACAACGCACGCGTCTTGTCGTCAGACGATTCAACCCGCTGCCCCAGCAGTGGCAGAGTTTTGACAGAGCCCTGTGAATTGTACTTTGATCGCCGTGAGCGCCAGTTCGAGTCCCGGCCACGCACTGGTGTAATACCAGTGGCGGGTGCTATCTGAACCGATTCTGCTCTCACCACCTGCTTCTCCAAGCCACGCTGGCCAAACGTGGTGAAGTATGGTCAAACAACCCTCGACACTGCGTGGAGGCACCTTCATCCAGCAGTGGATTGACAAAGGGCTGTCAATGACTGTGATGATGATGATGATTAACGTGAGTGGCTGTGCCGCTGCCCTACAAACCCGGCGCCCCGAGTTCGATTCCCGCTCACGGCCAACACCAGTGACGATTATCTGATTCGGTCCTGGGCCCCCTCGAGGTCGACTCAGCCTCAAATGAGTATCTGGTGAGGTGTGTCAACAAAAACATCGCCACTGGGGAGACAAAGGCGGCCGAGCGTGGTGCTGACCACCCACCCCGTCACGCGCCGTTCCGGCCTTCACAGTTGCTTACTCGCTAACGCCACTTGCCCCTACAGTCTGTCCCAGGCTATACGGGGGATCTTTGTCTTTGCCCTGCGAGACGCGCGCGGTACAGAACCCGGCGCTCGCCCGGCGGCACCGCGTTCCGTGTCACTCGACTCGTGAGAGCGACCCCGTGTCCACACGCTGGGGCTCGAGCTGTGAGGGTGGCACGGGACGGCGGGTGGGACAGGCACTCGTGGTGCGGTCTGTGTTCGAGGTAGTGTCAGGTTTAGAACGTTGCGACATTTATTGCAGTTGGAAATAACATTTTAATCGTCACAAGCTTTAACAGGTTTGGGTGGGGGAGGGGTTGTTCGTTGCATATATACAGTATCCTGTTTATAGAATTCTTATTTTGTCAACGTGAATATTAGTACAGCCAACACTTTACGGAGCGGTGGCGCAGTGGTTAGCGCACCACGGCTAAGACCCCGCCCCCCACCCCGCGCCTTCCCCCCCACACACCCACACCGCCGGCGATCGGAGTTTGATTCTTTCGCTCCGCGTTCAACAGCGGATTACCAACGGGGACCGCGGAGTTTACGATTCACGAAGAAGAAACGTTTTCGGCTGGGTTACACGTTTGCACTTCAAAGCGACGGCCAAAATCAAACGGCCCCCTTAAAAGTGGCCGGCAGCGCGGCGCGCTTGCAACGAGATGCGTCGCACCGCTTATCGCGTCCGCAATTTGGAGAGTGCCCATCGGTGTGAAAAATGTGCGTGCGATGCGCGGCCTCACTTAAAACTTTCCCCCCGTGGCGTCGCTGATCAATGTGTCCGCGTCACCCGCGCACATGCACACCCACCACCACCATAATGTATTCGGTATTAGTTGCGGCTTGCCCTGCCCTGCCCTGGCGTGGTTCACAGCCGTGCGCATCGTATCAATCACGGCGTGCGGCACTTTCAACCCAAGTGTCTGCAGGAAGCGTGCAGATCGCCCAGGCTGGTGGCACGATCATAACGACGCTACGACTCGATCTTGATTGGAAGCTTTCGTGACCCCAGGAATCCATACTCGTTGGTTCTTTCGGTAAAGTCACGTGGGTAGAAAATTGTTAATAGATCGCGACGTTTCGATCGCAACACAAGCGACCGTCTGCAGGTGAGAGAGAGAGAAAGCTACTGAAACAAGATCTTATGTAGGCCAAATACTTCTACTGTAATACACAACGACAACGTTGACAGCGCCCTGACATGGCAAGCCACGTTTGCAAGAGCACGCGCAGAAGGGCCGTTGCCCGAAGCGTCGCCTGTTTTATATGTAAATCTATATTGTTTAAAGGGCCACGTAGTGTTGTTGACGAATCTGTTGAGGCTGTTGTTGATGTTAATTGTGCACCACTGTCAGAGCAGAAGCAGCAGCAGCATCATCACCGCGTGATAATGCCTCACCGCGGGGGGCATGCGCCTGCAAGTCGATTTATACCACCTCTGGTTGTGTGTGTGCGTTTTTTTTGAGTGGGAAATACTTTTCAATTACATTTTTAATGAGTCCATAACCGTTACAATGAAGTATTTTTCGTGGTTGTTGTTTTTGTGTGTGTGTACGTATATCTACTGATCGTTGCGTGTTTATTATTAGTATATGTTTTAAATCGATGCTCAAATTAAACATTGAAAAAACACGACCGCTCCTGAAAGCATCACTCAAAGTGAAAACTGAAGACGACAAAAACCTTGCAACTTCGCGAGGGGATCGTGGCGATTTTAAATCACAGGAAAGCTGTCACACTTTTATTGGGGTTTTTTTTTAGTCAATGATGGAACATTAAAAAATTATCGTTTGTAAACAAAAAAAAAACGTTTTATTTTAATGGCCCGCATTGCTGTACGTGGATGCGCAGCTTAACTATTGCACGTGTGTTGAACTTCTTTCGCACCGTACGTATAACGAGCATCAAAAGCAGCACGCATTTGTGTGGGAAAAAAATGTACAGACCATGCAGACGAGGAAATACATTAAGGAAGGAAAGTATTTCACCTCATTTCAATCTAAATAAAGTAAATGTTGCACGTGTTGACTTCGCAAGGAAATATTGTGAAACTATTCAAAGCCACTGGGTTAACAAATGAGTATTTGCTGTGAAATGCGAGGGCCTTCCCGTACAGCGAGAGCATCGCAATTACCCCTTCATTAGCACCGCATTGCACGGCGGATATCCCCCACACAGCAACAGTTGCCCTCTCGTGTTCAAGCAGAATAAGCCTACGAGGCAGATGTCTGCTGTTCGTGTTCAAGATGCAAGATCGACATTATCTGTGTGTGTGTGTGTTGGGGAGCGGTGGTGTAGCCATTAGAGCACTGAGCTGCGAACCCAGCCCATCCCGGGTTCGATTCCCGCTCCTGGGCCTCCCCTAGGTCGACGCAGCCTCAAATTAGTACCTGGTGCGGTGTATAAACATCGCCACGAGGGAGACAAAGGCGGCCGGGCGTAGTGCTGTCCACCCACCCCCTCGTGTGCCACAGTGCCGGACTTCATAGGTCCAACTCGCTAGCAGCACTTGCTCCGTACAGTCTGTTAAGGCTATACGGGGGATCTTTGTCTCTATTTGTGTGTGGAGCTCCTTTGGC